ATCATTTTTAGTCAAATATTTTGTTGTAAATTTTTCAAAATAATTCCGACCGACAAACTTTGAAAAATTCCAGAATAAAGACCAATCATCCGATCTTGATGAAACTTGGTTTTTGGTGCCTATGAATGTTACCCTAAATTATAAAATTAATTTTACATTTCTATCTACACTGCATCTATCCGAAGACAAAGACTTATCGATTGTACCAATATAAACATTTTTTGTGAATCAATAACCGATAGTGTATTGAATTCATTATCAAAATTACCAAAAATACATACCATTAGACTCTATGGTAGGCGTGAATCAACTGAAACTGGTCTCAAAGATTTTTTCATTAATTGTCCAAAAATAAAACAATTTATTATAAATCAAAAACATTATAATTTTTTGAACTGCAATATTGTACATAAAATTCATTTAAATTAATTAAACGTTATAAAAAGAAGGATGCGCATCTGTGTGATAGCGTGCACTTTGGATTTATTGTTATAAAATTAAAGTACACTCAATAGGTAGTCGAGTGATATACTTCATATGTCCAGATACTTTCGGGTCTGGTCGTAGTGACCACTTTTATCGGTAAAATTTTAAAAATCAAATCTTTTATTTTATAAATAACCATGTCATATTATATATCAATAGAAAGGTATGGATGCGTAGAATCGAGATCCGAAGGAATTTATCAAATCTGACATAATCGATAAAAGTTATATCAAAATTAAGAAATTTAGTATCAGTTATGTACGTTTTTTTATAGTGAATAACGTAATTACCGAACATAATTTATATCAATTTTAAATATGCTTACAATGATAATTCATTTCGCAAATTTAAAAAAAATTCAAAAATTTTAATAAAATTTTTGGCATTTTCACCATTATTTTTGCGCAAACTTCTTTGAGAAAACATTATTTTAATAGATGTATTAAAATTTTATTTTGTCATTTTAATTCTACTAATGTTAGAAATACAGCACAAGGGATACAGAAATACATAAGGAATTTCTTTGTATTCTGCTTTTATCATGTTTTTATCAATTTTATATCCTTATTCATTGACGTCAATACACATATTAATTGTTTATGAGTTTTAATATACATTTTAATAGTCTTTAATTGCATTAATTTACTGTTTTTTAATGAATTTATTGTGTGTTTATTAACAGTGTCATTTATAATAAATAAATAACTAATAATTAATAAAACACCAAGTTACATTATATGTTTAGTTAAATAAAACTCAAAAACTAAAACATGTATTCATTTGTGAGAAATGTTTTCAATACAAATAGTTTCCGAAATTATATGAGAAGAATATTGGACTCAAAAAATGATACACAAGTGAAGTGCTTATCGAGGGATTCAATGGACAGATTCGGTGATGATTTGTGTCACGTATTGTTCACTTATCTGTCATTTGAGGACCGATTCCGGTGTGAATGTGTGTCCACTCAATGGCAACGATTGCTATTCAATACACAAACAGATATCAATTCAAAACATTTATTTGATTACTGTTTGGGCCGTAAATTCAAGACAACTAAAAAATCTAATGCAGTATTTCTTATCATAATTAAAAAGTGTACAAACATTACTCGCATTGAAGTGAACAAATGGGCTAATTTAAGTGATTTAATAATTATCATGGTAATAAAACATTGCCATAATTTACGATATGTTAACTTTAAAGTTGATGACAAACTAACGGCCGAAACAATGGATTTATTTTTCGCAAAGTTTGCCAAACAATTGAAAACAATTGAGTTTTCAATATCTCCCTCACAATCGGATAAAATGTTAATAATTTGCGATAAATTAACACAAATTAGCAAACGATGCGATATTAATATGGATTTATATTCACTAGATTTGTTGTCTATATTACCCATGGACATTTTATCAACTAACCTTCGTAAAATTAGTTTTAATTATAAAAATGAATTCACCTGTTTCAATTTACTGATACAACATTTTAAACGTACTTTGAAATCAATTGATGTAAAAATTGATTACATTTTTGTCAATTCAATTGATATACTGATGAATGGTTTGTCACAAATGATGGCATTGACTGATCTGAAGATCACCTGTTATTCAGTGATATTAAACACTATTATAGCGAATGGTATGAAACAAATCGGTTATAATTTCCGTAAATTATGTCGATTATCGCTGGACCTGATAATCGATGATAACTATTATTACCAGCAATTAATGCAAACAAGTAATCAATACTATCACCGGTTGAGACGTTTGACAATCAAAGGACATGTCTATAGTTTTACAGCTATTTGTGATTTAAATAATCGATTCAAACATTTAACACATTTAACGCTAATTGTAAACATATTTGATATACATTTTGAGCAAATAATTAGGAATTCACATAAACTGGAAGTCATAGACATTTATTGCCGTCCGATAACCGATAGTGTATTGAATTCATTATCAAAATTACCAAAAATACATACCATTAGACTCTATGGTAGACATGAATTCACTGAATCCGATCTCAAATATTTGTTAACCAATTGTCCCAAAATTAGACAAATTATTATAAATTCAAAACAATATAATTTTTGTGATAACAAAGTAGTTTGGCAATATTATTTAGTGCCGGTAAACGTAATTTAAACATGATAAATCAAGTCATAAAATTTGTTAAATAATTGTTTGCTGTTATTTATTAAATTAATACAATATTATTTGAGATATGTTTAAATTTTTATTCATATAAATGTATTTTGGATTAAATAATTTCAAAATGGATTATAGTTTTATTACATTTAATCACAATTAATATACTTTACAAAAAAACTAAAAGCAGTTGTGTAATAATATTTATGGTACATATCATTGTTAAAAATTGTTTTAAATTTAATATTAAATACACAAATATATCAACAAATGATTGTAATTACAATTTATTGTCAATCCCAACAATTTAAAAACTATTTGTCCTTCAAATGAACCTCACATTTGTGTCGTTTTAAATGTGAAATTCTAGTATAACTTTTGTTACAATCACTGAAATCACATTTAAACGGTTTTTCTCCCGAATGTAAGAATTTATGTGCATTAAGAATATGTCTAAAATGGAATGTTTTGCCGCAGTTTTCTTCATTACATTTAAATTTTCTTTCATTCAAATGAAAACATCTTTTGTGTTGATATAAATCTCCTTTTCTTGTAAAATATTTGTTACAATCGTTAAAATCACATTTAAATGGTTTTTCTCCCGAATGAATGCGTTTGTGTGAAATTAGAGTTGTTTTTTGAGCAAAACTTTTGCCACAATTTTCTTCATTACATTTGAATCGCTTTTCTTTCAAATGAACACAACTTTTATGTAGAAATAAATTATATTTTGATGGAAAACTTTTATTACAATTATTGAAATCACAAACAAATCTTTCAATTAAATGAACGCTATTTCTGTGTTGATATAATTGAGCTTTTGTTGCAAAACTTTCGTTACAATCAGTGAAATCGCATTTAAATGGTTTTTCGATCAAATGTATCATTTTGTGTCGATTTAGCACTGATTTTTGATTAAAACATTTTTTACAATTTTTTTCATTACAAATGTAACGCTTTTCATTCAAATGAACACAACTTTTGTGTTGAAATAAATAGTATTTTGTTGTAAAACTTTTGTTACAATTACTGAAATCACAAATAAATCTTTTATTTAAATGAACGCTATTTTTATGTATAGTTAATTGTGATTTCCATTTATAATTTTTATTACAGTTATTGAAATCACATTTAAATTGTCTTAAATTTGAATGAATTAATTTATGTTTTGTTAAACGAGTTTTACGTTTTGTTTTATATTCACATTTAGGCCAAAAACAGTGGAAATATTTATTATTATTAATTGCAATCAAATTATCACTGATTTTGGTTTTATTCATTGAAACCAATGTTTCGCTGATTTTCAATGTTTTGCAATCAATTGTTTGATTGAAATGTAAATCCAAATGATTTAATGATTCAATCGTTTCATTCAAAACACTATTATTTGTATTCAAAATACATTGCATTTTGTCTATCGTTTCGCAGAAAACCTTCATTTCATTGAATTTATTCCTCATTTGATTGAAATCCAAGTCTTCTATCACTTGAGCCCACGTTTGGCTGTCGTTGTCTTCGGTGGCCATTGACTCGTCGTTACCCAACGTATCCATTGTCTCAACACTTTGTCCAACACTCTGTTCACGATTTCACTCCTAATTCAAGTATTAAATCGTCCAAAACTGTCCGTCTCTTCAGTTAAACACAAATCAATTAAAGATTTTATGAAATAATTGATAAACACTTTTAAACACAAAATCAAAACATTTGCAACATTTTATAGACAACGTGTTTGAAAGCATGGCTTAAAATCGTTTGATTTTTCTATGCATTCAATGATAAAACCAATGATATTTCACTTCCAATGCATTTTACATTTGATTCATATAATGAACTCTAAAAATGTTTGACATTAAATTTGAAAATATTCCCAAAAATTTCATGAACATAACAAAATATTCCCACAGAATATCGTTGTTTTGAATTATTGGGAATTTTCCAAACTTTGGGAATAATATTTGAAATTAAAATTATCGAAACTTTATTTAACCGGATGAGTGATATGTGTGAACAGGAAGTGTGTCAGAGTTGAGTCAATGCTTAAAATAAACGGTTTTATGTGTTTTTTGTCTATAAATTGCAGCAAAAATTTAAATTTTGTTTTTAATTTGAAGTGATTTTCCAATTGTTTTATTCATTTGTGTTTAACTGAAATTAAAATTTAGTGCTGAACAGACGGACAGTTTGAGGGATTGAATACTTGAATGAGTAGTGAAGTCGTGGACAAAGTGTTGAGACAATGGTTACTTTGGGTAACGACGAGTCGATGAAGTGATGGCCACCGAAGACAACTCGAGCCAAACGTGGGCTCAAGTGATAGAAGACTTGGATTTCAATCAAATGAGGAATAAATTCAATAAAATGAAGGTTTTCTGCGAAACGATAGACAAAATGCAATGTATTTTGAATACTAATTATAGTGATTTGAATGAAACGATTGAATCAATAAATCATTTGGATTTCAATCAAACAATTGATTGCAAAACATTGAAAATCAGTGAAACAATGCTTTCAATTAATGAAATTAAAATCAGCGATAATTTGATTGCAATTAATAATAAAAATGATAAATATTTTCACTGTTTTTGGACTGATTGTCAATTCAAGACTAAATATATAAATAGTTTAACTAATCATCAATTAATTCATTCAAATGAACGGCAATTTAAATGTGATTTCAATAATTGTAACAAAAGTTTTAATCAGAAATTCTCATTAATTGAACACAAAAATACTGTTCATTCAAATACATATTTACACTGTGTTTGGCCTAAATGTCAGTTCAAGACTAAACATAAAAAGTGTTTAACAACTCATCAATTAATTCATACAAATATTAGACAATTTAAATGCGATTATAATAATTGCAATCAAGTTTTTAAAACAAATGGAAATTTAACTCAACACAAAAATTGCGTTCATTTAAATAAGAGATTTAAATGTGATTTCAGTGATTGCAATAAAAGTTTTACATCAAAAGCATATGTATTTGAACACAAAAGTTGTGTTCATTTGAAGGAAAAGCCGTTTAAATGTAATGAAGAAAATTGTGGCAAAGGTTTTGGTCAAAAGAAGCTTTTAATGCAACACAAACGCAAACATTCGGGAGAAACCCCTTTTGCTTGTAATTTTAGTGAATGTAACAAAACTTTTAAATCAGAACCAAATTTAATTCAACACAAAAATAGGGTTCATTTGAATATAACATTTATTTGTGAATTTAATAATTGTAACAAAAATTTTACAAACAAACATTCATTACGTCAACACAAAAGTTGTGTTCATTTGAAAGAAAAACAATTCAAATGTAATGAAAAAAATTGTGGCAAAAGTTTTGGTCGAAAACACGATCGCGACAAACATAAAGCCATACATTCAGGAGAAAAACCATTTAAATGTGATTTCAATGAATGTAATAAATGTTTTATACGAAAAAGTGATTTACTTATTCACCGAAATTGTGTTCACTTAAAACAAAAGCCATTTAAATGTGTTGAAGAAAATTGCGGCAAATCTTTTGGTCAAAGGTCACAATTAATTGGACATAAACTCTTTCATTCGGGAGAAAAACCTTTTGTTTGTGAAACCAATAATTGTAACAAAAGTTTTAAATCAAAACGAAGTTTATTTCAACACAAAAATGGCAGTCATTTGGAGAATAAATAATTTTACACATTTATCAATATTATTATCAATAAATGTTTCATAATTTTTATGTTTGTATTAATATTTAATTTCAAAACAATTGTTTAGTTTTTCATTTGTTTCACAGATATTATGCAATAATTATTTTTAAACTGTTTTCATTAATAAAATCTGTTTTCTATAATATATTTGTCTGTAATTTTAACTTTGATTATATTAAACAAAATTATCCTTCATTTTGTTGTTTGAATTTAAAGTGCATTTAAATGAATAATATTTGTTATAAGTTCTGAATTATTGTTTTAAATAAACAACAACTAAATCAACACAAACGCTGGCATTCGGGAGAAAAGCTATTTAGTTGTGATTTCATTGATTGTAACAAAATGTTCACAACAAATGAACATTTAAATCGACACAAAAGATCCGTTCATTTAAATGGATAATATTGTAAAGTAATCTTTATATAAAATTAATAAATTATAATCTGTGTTATTAATATCGTGATAAAAACAATGCTAATACATTTATAATTCAAATATGACCATTATTTGCAAATTCAAATTAAAAATAAGTTATCTTAAACCATTATTCAGGTGGAAAACAAGCGTAGGCCAATTCACCCAGGTGAAAAATTAAAAATAATTTATATTAGACCAATTTTAAAGGTAGAAGACAGGCGTGCGAAAAAGCACCTTATAAAAACCAGGTGAAAAAGTGAAATTTATTTATAGTAGACCAATATTAAGGTGGAAAACAGGTGTGGGCAATATCACCACATAAAAATGAGGTGCCATATTTTTAATAAGTTATATTTCTCAGAGCGGGAAAATTCGGATATTCGTAGGCATAGATATAATGTATTTCCTATGGGAGCTGAGGGGCAAAGTCTAACTTGTGGTTAATAATTGAGAAGTCATATATTGGACAAATATTAAGGTGGAAAATAAGTTTGTGCAAAATAAGCTCATAACAATGAGGTGCAAAATTGAAAATAAGTTATATTAGACCAATATTCATGTGGAAAACAGCCGTAGGCATAATCACCTCAGGTAGAAAATTAAAAATAAGTCACATTAAGTCCATTTTATAGGTGTGAGAAAATTCACCTCATAAAAATCAGGTGCAAAATTGAAATTAATTTATATTAGACCAATATTTAGGGACCGATTCCGGTGTGAATGTGTGTCCACTCAATGGCAACGATTGCTATTCAATACACAGACAGAAATCGATACAAACCTATTGTTTACTTACCTTTTGAACCGTAAGTTAAGAATAAACAAGAAATTGATTGATAGTAAATTACTTGTGAATATTATTTGTGTGTAAATATTACTCGTATTACGCATTATATTGAAATGCATAAAGGTGATAAATTAACTGATCTAATATTGAACATGATGGTAAAACATTTCTATAACTTACAACATGTTAACTTTAAAGTTGATGACAAACTAACGGCCAAAACAATTAACTTATTATTTTTTTTCAAAGTTTGCCAAACAATTGAAAACAATTGAGTTTTTAATAAATGAAACCGGTATACATGAGCAGAAATTAAAATATTGTACATATGTAAAATACACAGTATCGAAGTGTATGTATTAAATTTTGAGATAAGGATTATGATAATAGGACTTAATCCACAATAACAACTAATAACTGGTAAATTGTTGTCCCGGGCATAGCATGTAGTGCATTGAAATACTTGTTTATAAGGTCCAACATATGAACTACACGTGTGTTTCATTGCAATCAGTGTTGAATATAAATGCTTTTGGTTTGAGTTTAAAAATCATTTATAAAATGTGTTCAAAATTAATAAATATTTCGTTAATTGAAATGAAGAATATATTAAATGCAATAAAAAGTTTGTGTAAAATTTTTAATGCCATAATTGTATTAAAAGTGTTTTTATTATTAAACATAATTTTAATATTAATTAATTGTAATCAAATTACTATCTATTTTGTTATATTCTGTTTTTCTCACAAAATGAATATTTTGTGTTAAATTATTGGGAAATATTCCCAAACATTGGGAACAATAAAAGGGAATAAAAATTATAAAAACTTTATATTAAATCAATGATTGGTTTGTGTGAACAGGAAGTGAGTCAGAGTTGAGTCAATGCTTGAAATATTGAAATAAACGGTTAGTCTATAAATTGTGGCAAAAGTTTTGATTTTGTCTTTAGTTTTAAGTGTTTTTAATTATTTTATTGAATTAATAATTGATTTGTGGTTTGAGTGCCGAAAGTGAACACAATTTACACCCAAATTGTGTCCACATTTTGATTGCGATTTATTTATCCAAACGTTTACTTTAAATACCAATCAATCGCTTAATTATTGTATAATTTTTAATCACAAACCAATCGATGTTTTAATGAGTAGTTTATGTGATTTAATGGTATATTTTGTGTAATTTAGTAATCAATTGATTAAAACAATTAATTTGTCCATAAATTGTGGCAAAAGTTGTAATTATATTAAACATAAGATTTAAACCAAAGTTAGAGTTGAAGTGATGGCCACCGAAGACAACGACAGCCAAACCACACATCAAATCAATCACAAAGACATGCATTTGATTGAAATGAAGAATCAGTTGAAAGCAATCAACAGTTTGTGTCATAGATTAGCCAAAATTCAGTGTATTTTAAATTCAAATTATAAAGTTTTGTATGAAAACATTGAATCACAAGATAAGTGTAATTTAGATATCAATCAAACAATTGATCGCAAAACATTCAAAATCAGTGAAAAATTGCTTTCAATGAATAAAATCAAAAACAGTTATAATTTGATTGCAATTAATAATACAATTAATAATAATAATAATAAGTATTTCCACTGTTTTTGGCCTAATTGTCATTTCAAGACTAAACCCAAATGCAATTTACTTTCACATCAATTAATTCATTCAAATGTTAGACAATTTAAATGTGATTTTAATAATTGTAATAAAAGTTATAAATGGAAAACACAATTAATTCTTCACAAAAATATTGTTCATTTGAATAATCGATTTGTTTGTGATTTCAAAGACTGCAACAAATGGTTTACAACTAAATCATATTTATTAAAACACAAAAGTTATATTCATTTGAATAAAAAACAATACAAACCATTCAAATGTAATGAAGAGAATTGTGGCAAAAGTTTCGCAACTAATCGCAATTTAATTGTACACAAAATGAGTCATTCGGGAGAAAAGTCATTCAAATGTAATGTTAATGATTGTAACAAAGCTTATAAACTAATATCCCATTTAATTAATCACAAAAATAACATTCATTTAAAAAAGAGATATAAATGTGATTTCAATAATTGTAACAAATATTTTACCGATAAATCATATTTAGTTAAACACAGAAAATGTGTTCATTTGAATGAAAGGCTATTCAAATGTGATGAAGAAAATTGTGGCAAAAAATTATCTGATAAACGTAGACTTATTGTACACAAACGCGTGCATTCGGGAGAAAAACCATTTAAATGTGATTATAATAATTGTATTAAAGTCTATACAACCAAATCAGAATTAATTTTACATAAAAATAGTGTTCATTTAAATCTAAGATTTATTTGTGATTTCAATGATTGCAATAAAAGTTTTCCCAAAAAATCGATTTTAAATAAACACAAAAGTTGTGTTCATTTGAATGAAAAGCCATTCAAATGTAATGAAGAAAATTGTGGCAAAAGTTTTGGACAAAAGGGAAATCTAATTACACACAAACGCATTCATAAGGAAGAAAAATTATTTAAATGTGATTTCAATGAGTGTAATAAAAGTTATAAACAACAATCACATTTAATTCGACACAAAAATTGTGTTCATTTAAATAAAACGCCCTTTAAATGTGATGAAGAAAATTGTGATAAAAAATTTTCAGATAAACAACAACTCAATCAACACAAACGCTATCATTCGGACGAAAGACCATTTAAATGTGATTTCAATGGTTGTGACAAAAGTTTTAAAACAAAGAGAGATTTAAATCGACATAAAAATGCAGTTCATTTGAAGAATAAATAGCTTTAAAGCATTTATAAAAATTGATTATAATTTATACTTAAAATATTTTTATGTTTGTATTCAATTTTCAATTAATTTAATAATAAACTATAATTGTATTAAAAGTAATTTTATTAAACATTGTTTATTAATTTTAAGTCAATTCAATTGCTATACTTATGAATGGTTTGTCACAAATGGTGGCATTAATTGATTTGAAGTTTGCCTGTTATTCAGACACTTTTAACACTATTATAGCAAATGGTATGAAACAAATCGGTTATAATTGCCGTAAATTATGCCGATTATCGCTGGATCTGATAATCGATGATAACTATTATTACCAGAAATTAATGCAAACAATTACTCAATACTATCACCGATTGAGACGTTTGACAATCAAAGGACATGTCTATAGTTTTACAGCTATTTGTGATTTAAATAACCAATTCAAACATTTAACACATTTAACTTTAATTGTAAACATATTTGATATATATTTGATATATACTTTACATTTTGAACAAATAATTATTTATTCATCAAAACTGCAAGTTATAGACATTTATTGCCGTCCGATAACCGATAGTGTATTGAATTCATTATCAAAATTACCACAAATACATACCATTAGACTCTATGGTAGCCATGAATTCACTGAATCCGGTCTCAAGTATTTGTTTACCAATTGTCCTAAAATGAGACAAATTATTATAAATTCAAAACAATATAATTTTTATGATAACAAAATTATTTGGCAATATTATTTAATACCATTAAATGCTATTTAACTGTGCATTAAATTTAAAATAATATAATGCTTGTGAAGGCATCACTGGTTTATTTCGTGCCCACTAATTATTATACTTTATAAATTAATTTTAATGTTTGCTATAAAGTGCTTATTATTATTATTATTAATAAATATTACTGTTTTAGTTTATAGGGTATAACTATGACATATACCTTTTATTTTGTTTGTTGTCTGTACATTGAATATAATAATAACCATAAATGTATTGATCAATTGATTTTCCTATGCATTCAATAGTAAATAAGACTTTAAATAAAAATGTTTTTATTGCATTTATTATTGTTGTAATTTTCATTTAATTAAATTTTTACCTTTTGTATTACATTAATTTAATTACTATGATATACTGTAGTCCAAAATTTAAACAAGGATCACACGCGATGCTATGCGTTAACCACAATTC